TGCACAGTGGGCGGGGGGGGGGCGCGGAGGGGCCCTCAGCCTGGCCTGCACCCTCTCTAATCTTGGAACCGTTGGACTAAACTGGCTGTCGGACATCCTTCTCACAATCTGGACAGCTGGCTCCTAACTGCTCACCTGCCTGCCAGCCTGATCACCCGTAACTGCCCTCCTCTGCCCGTCTGGTTGCCCCTAACTGTCCTCACCTGCCGTCCTGGTTGCCCCTAACCACCTCTGCCTCGGTCCCGGCCACCATGGCTTTGCACGGAAGGACGTCCAGATGGATGTCTGAAAGATGTTCGGTCTAATTAGCATATTACCCTTTTATTAGTATAGATTATACAACATAAGCTTTAAGGTAGAATTGCATTATTACAAATGAAGAGACATTTCACTTAAAAATGTATATTGGTTTGACATGATTCAAATCCACTTATTTATGACAAAAATCAAGTCTTTAAGAATAGGATTGCTTGCCCTAGCTGGTTTGGCTCAGTGGCTAGAGCTTCAGCCTGAGGACTGAAGGGTTGTAGGTTCGATTCTGGTCAAGGGCACATGCCTGGGTTGCGGGCTCCATCTCCAGAAGAGTGCGTGCAGAAGGCAGCCGATCAGTGATTCTCTCTCATCATTGATGTTTCTATCTCCCTCTCCCTTCCTCTCTGAAATCAATAAAAATCTATTTAAAAAAATAAAAAGAATAAGATGCTTTGCTATCAAAGCCAAGCAAGGTGTGTCATTGGTTGTCCCTGATGAAGTCTGAGCAGCTCAGTTGCTAAGCGACTTCGCTGGGTTCTTACCAAATAAAATCTGTGGAATAGCAACCACACCCACCATGCATTTAGGGTATAAAGACCAAAAGTTGGGGAGGACAGAGTGCTTCTGGGGTAGGAGACAGTGAGGGTAAGCAGCTGGGAGGCAGGGAAGACATGGAATGCCCAGTGCCTGGAAGCGTCGGAGGATCTGGGATATGCAAATGTGTTCGGGGCGGGGTCAGGCCCTGCGCTCCGCTCTGAGAGGTCAGATCTGGAGGGAGGGCAGGGGTGCGGTTCCAGGGATCCCCTCCTGCGAGGCTCCTCCTCCTCCCCTTAACTCCCTAACCTGTCCATTTGGATGAAGGGGATGGGAAGCAGGTACACAATGCCTGGGCAGGATGCCCCTCAGTCCCGGAACTCTCCCGGGGCGGGGGCGGGGTGTTTGTATTGATTTATTGGATCCTTCTTACATGTTAAGGGGGTGACAGGGGAGTGTCTGCCAGACATGGTTTCCTTCTGCTTGCTCGCCAGAGCTGCCCCACGTGATGCCTTTTCCCTTCCTTCCCCGCTGCCCCGAGAAAACGCGCATGAGATCACCAGGGACAAAACTGGGCCCCCATTGTATTGCGTGCAGATTGTACTCCACAGGAACCTGCCTGATCCAGAGAGGGTTGGGGTCATTCACTGCAGGAAAGGCTCGATTTAAACAAAGCCCCCATTTAGATAGGCACCAGCTGAGCTGTTTGCAGAGACTTTATCATCCCTTCTGGCTGTTTCCTTGGAAACCACTGTAAGAATAAAAGAATGTTACAAACTGCCCAGGCCTAAATGTTTTATCTCAACTCCCCAAGCTTCCCCCGCCAGGGATAGGAACAAAGGGAACAAAGCCCTTAAGGCTGTTCCAGGAAATAGCCCTAGACACAAAGAGCAGGCTGAGCAAGCCATACTCTGATCAACCGTTGAGATAAACAGGATGTGAAATTACCAGGAGGGACTGATGACTAACTCTCAAGCCCTGTCAGGACACAACCCAGACCCCTTTGGAATTCCTTTGTTCCCCTCTTTCCCCTTCTGCGTGTAACCCCTCCCGATGTGTGGTTTTTGCCTATATATACTTGTAAGACTTTCTGCTCGGGGCTCGACTCCTCTGCTCCTGCGTGAGTTACGAGTTGAGCCCCAGCGCGCTGGAATAAAGCCTCTTGCTGTTTGCATCAAGTGACGCCTCTTGCGGTTGATTGGGGTTGCCGTCGATCCAAGGGACAGAGAAAGGACTCCCCTGGGGTCTTACATTTGGGGGCTCGTCCGGGATTAGACGACCACCCCTCATCCGCGGAGTCGACCTTGGAGGTAAGAAGGGGTACCCCGAGGTTGTTTGTCTTTGTCTTGTGTTTGTTGGGCGGTCTGGATCTGTGTGCGCGCTTTCGGTTTTGCAGCCGTTCGGCAACTCGTGAGGGTGGCCGAACAGTGGTCGGTAGACGTGCCTGGAGGACCACAGGTTGCAGCCCTGGGGGACGCCCCAAGGGTGGAGGAGAGCCAGGGACGGCTGCTAGTCTCCTACTGTAAGGGCGCCGATCAGGTTCGGCTGTTGGATCAGAAATTGTCCAGATCGCGCCCATCTGATTCCGTTACAAGTTTGTGGCGGAAAAGGTGGGTTAAGTGGGCCCTCGTGTCTGTAACATTTTTGATATTTGTGTTGTTAACGATGTACAAACTGACGATGGGACAGACTGTGACAACCCCTCTTAGTTTGACCTTAGACCATTGGACTGAAGTTAAGGGAAGAGGTCGCGACCTATCAGTTGAGATCAGGAAAGGTCCATGGCGGACCTTCTGCTCCTCAGAATGGCCTACTTTTAATGTAGGGTGGCCAAAAGAAGGGACCTTCGACCTATCTGTTATTTTTGCTGTTAAGAAGATTGTTTTTCAGAGAGAACCTGGAGCCCATCCGGATCAACAGCCCTACATCGTGGTCTGGCAGGCTTAGACCATGGACTGAAGTTAAGGGAAGAGGTCGCGACCTATCAGTTGAGATCAGGAAAGGTCCATGGCGGACCTTCAGCTCCTCAGAGTGGCCTACTTTTAATGTAGGGTGGCCAAAAGAAGGGACCTTCGACCTATCTGTTATTTTTGCTGTTAAGAAGATTGTTTTTCAGAGAGAACCTGGAGCCCATCCGGATCAACAGCCCTACATCGTGGTCTGGCAGGACCTGGTGCAAAACCCGCCCTCCTGGGTTCGACCTTGGGTTGCAAAACCCAAGCCCCGGCTGGACGCTCGAGTTCTAGCTATCCAATCTCCCAGTCCTGGGGGAGATACCAGCCCCCCGGACCCCCCCAAGAAGATTTATCCAGAAACCCAGGCCGACCTCCTCCTCCTTGACCCACCACCCCCATATCCTCCTGCCTTAGTTCCGGTCGAGGGTCGAGAGGAGCCAGAGGTATCGCCGGCCCCTGAGGTTGCCCCTTCCGCTCCCTCGGCTGAGCCTCTGTCGGGGCCGGCCCATGGCACCAGGAGCCGCGACCGCTGGCAGTCCCCTGACACCACCGTCGCCCTTCCCCTAAGAGCTTATGGGCCCCCGCCGGTGGTGACGGAAGGAGGACCGGCTCCTCTTCAGCCCCTCCAGTACTGGCCTTTCTCCTCCGCTGACTTGTATAACTGGAAGACTAATCATCCTCCCTTTTCAGAGGACCCTCAGCGCTTAACTGGGCTGGTGGAGTCCTTAATGTTCTCTCATCAGCCCACATGGGATGATTGCCAGCAGCTGCTGCAGACCCTTTTCACTACTGAGGAGAGGGAGAGAATCCTATTAGAGGCGAGGAAGAATGTGCCGGGAGCAGATGGACGGCCCACTCAGCTCCCCAACATCATCGAAGCTGCCTTTCCTCTCTCTCGGCCTGATTGGGATTTCAACACGGCAGAAGGTAGGGAGCGACTGACCGTCTATCGCCAGACTCTAGTGGCCGGCCTCCACGGGGCAGCAAGACGCCCCACTAATTTGGCTAAGGTAAGAGAGGTTATCCAGGGGGCCACGGAACCCCTGTCGGTATTTCTTGAGCGCTTAATGGAAGCTTTCAGGCGCTACACCCCGTTTGACCCCACCTCAGAGGGGCAGAGGGCTTCCGTGGCCATGGCTTTTATAGGACAGTCGGCATTAGACATTAAGAGAAAATTGCAGAGGATAGAAGGATTACAGGATTATACCCTACAGGATTTAGTTAAGGAGGCAGAGAAAGTGTATCATAAGAGGGAAACTGAGGAGGAAAGAGAGCAGAGAAAAGAAAAGGAGAGAGAGGAGAGAGAAAACAAGCGGGATCGTAAGCAGGAGAAGAATCTGACACGGATTTTGGCCGCAGTGGTAGGTGAGAGAGGACAGGAACAAACCCAGAGTAGGGCTAAAAGGTCAGGCAACCTGGGCAACCGCACCCCATTAGACAGAGATCAGTGCGCCTACTGCAAAGAAAAAGGTCACTGGGCTAGGGAGTGCCCTAAGAAGAAAAAGAACGGGTCCTCCAAGAAGGTATTAGCCCTGGAAGAGGAAGAGGACTAGCGGGGACGGGGCTCGGAACCGCTCCCCGAGCCTAGGGTAACATTAGAGGTGGAGGGGAGGCCAGTTGAGTTCCTAGTAGACACTGGGGCTCAGCACTCGGTCCTACTCGAACCAGCTGGACCTGTTTCCCACAAGAAATCGTGGGTCATAGGAGCCACAGGGCACCAGCAGTACTCATGGACTACCCGAAGAACAGTAGACTTAGGAACGGGATGGATAACCCACTCGTTTCTGGTCATCCCCGAGTGCCCTGCACCTCTACTTGGGAGAGATCTCCTAACCAAAATGGGAGCCCAGGTTACCTTCACCCCCGATGGCCTGGAGGTGACTCAAAGCAGGGGAATGGCCACCGCTTTGACCATACGCCTAGATGATGAACATAGACTTTTTGAAAACCAGGGAGCAGAAATAAACCACATAAATGACTGGTTAAACAGGTATCCGGGAGCGTGGGCCGAGACGGCTGGAACAGGACTAGCTACAGAAAGGCCACCCGTAGTCATAGAGCTTAAGGCCACTTCCACTCCTGTGGCCGTGCGCCAATACCCCATGACTAAGGAGGCCCGAGAGGGGATTAGGCCCCATATTCAGTGCCTCCTCCAGCAAGGCATCCTAGTAAAGTGTCAGTCGCCATGGAACACTCCCTTGTTGCCTGTTAAGAAGCCCGGCTCAGGAGATTATCGCCCGGTACAGGACTTAAGGGAAGTAAACAAGCGGGTACAGGACATCCACCCCACAGTACCTAACCCTTACAACTTGTTGAGCTCTCTTCCCCCGGATCATATTTGGTATACTGTCTTGGATTTAAAGGACGCTTTCTTCTGCCTGCGACTGCACCCCTCCAGCCAGAACATTTTTGCATTCGAGTGGAGGGACCCTGACTCTGGGACTACAGGACAACTGACTTGGACCCGATTACCCCAGGGGTTCAAGAATTCCCCGACCCTCTTCGATGAAGCTCTTCACCAAGATTTAGCCCACTTCCATGCCAGCCATCCCCAGGTAACACTTCTGCAGTATGTGGATGACTTACTACTAGCCGGGGCCACAGAGGAAGAGTGCCAACGGGGCACGGGACTACTGCTGGAAGAACTCGCCCGCCTAGGATATCGGGTCTCCGCCAAGAAGGCCCAGATCTGCCAAAGAGAGGTAGCGTACCTGGGGTACGCCCTCAAAGGGGGGCAGAGGTGGCTAACGGAGGCCAGGAAACAGACTGTGACTCAGATACCCGTTCCTCGCTCACCCCGTCAGGTGCGAGAATTTTTAGGGACTGCGGGGTTTTGCCGCTTATGGATCCCCGGGTTCGCTACCCTGGCAGCCCCCCTCTATCCTCTGACTAGAGAGGGTGCCCCGTTTGAGTGGGGTAACGGCCAACAGCAGGCCTTTGATGACATCAAGAAGGCATTACTGTCAGCCCCGGCCCTGGCATTACCGGACGTAGCAAAGCCCTTCGTCCTATATGTGGACGAGAGAGGGGGAGTAGCCCGAGGGGTGCTGACCCAGCCTCTAGGGCCATGGAAGAGGCCGGTAGCCTACCTCTCCAAGAAGCTAGATCCTGTTGCTAGTGGTTGGCTTGCCTGTCTGAGGTCCGTGGCGGCAGTGGCAGTGTTGGTGAAAGATGCTGACAAATTAACTATGGGACAAAAGCTAACGGTCATTGCCCCCCACTCCTTGGAGAGCATCATCAGGCAGCCCCCTGATCGGTGGCTGTCCAACGCCCGCATGACACACTACCAGAGTCTCCTACTGAATGGAGACAGGATCCAGTTCGGGCCGCCTGCCATCCTCAACCCGGCTACCCTACTACCCGACACGTCCACCCAGGAGAGTGTGCTGCACACCTGTCAAGAGATACTGGCAGAGGAAACGGGGACCCGAAGGGACCTCCGAGACCAGCCCTTGCCAGACGCTCAGCTGACCTGGTTCACTGATGGAAGCAGCTACATAATAGAAGGTAAAAGGGTGGCCGGGGCGGCGGTGGTGGACGATGAGCAAATTATCTGGGCAAGCAGCCTACCCGAAGGGACGTCGGCTCAGAAGGCCGAGTTACTAGCTCTGACTCAGGCCCTACGAATGGCCGAAGGGAAGAAGATTAATATCTATACTGATAGCAGGTATGCCTTTGCTACTGCCCATGTCCACGGGGCTATCTATCGGCAGCGGGGACTACTAACCTCAGCAGGGAAAGAAATCAAAAATAAGAAAGAAATTCTAAGCCTGTTAGAGGCCGTTCACCTTCCTAAGGAAGTGGCAATTATCCACTGTCCCGGACATCAGAAAGGAGGGTCCAGAGTTGCCGGAGGGAACCAAAGGGCTGACAGAGAGGCCAAGCGGGCGGCTCAGGGACTCAACATCCTATCCTTGTCTGAGGAAAAATCGAGGTCTCACCCTGAGGATATGGTATACCCCTCTATCAGGAACTTTGATTATTCAGGACCAGACCTTGAAAGAATGGACAGATTAGGATTTCGCCTGGAGACCCCAGAGGGGATCCGAAAAACCTCAGAAGGAAAAAGAATCCTTCCTGAAAAACAGGCTGTCATTTTCCTCAGACACCTTCATAAGTTAACTCATCTGGGCTCAAGACATTTAAAAACTATTGTCCAGTCTTCACCGTATTATATTATGAAACTAGGGGAGCTCGCCGATACAACCGTAAAAGAGTGCAAGCCTTGCCAGATGGTGAACGCCCAGCCCAGCAAGCTATCCCAGGGCAAACGGCTCCGAGGAGACCGCCCTGGGAGTTACTGGGAGGTAGACTTTACTGAGGTAAAGCCAGCCAGGTATGGATACAGATACTTATTGGTATTCATAGATGCATTTTCAGGATGGGTCGAAGCCTTCCCTACCAAGAAAGAGACTGCTCAGATGGTGGCCAAGATAATACTAGAAGACATCTTCCCGAGATTCGGGGTGCCTAAGGTAATCGGGTCGGACAACGGCCCGGCGTTTGTTGCCCAGGTAAGTCAGGGACTGGCCAAAATCCTGGGGCTTGATTGGAAATTACATTGTGCTTATAGGCCCCAAAGCTCAGGGCAAGTAGAAAGAATGAATAGAACTTTAAAAGAGGTCATGACTAAATTATCCGTAGAGACTGGCATAACAGACTGGACAGTCCTCCTTCCCTTTGCCTTATTCCGGGTCCGCAATACCCCCGGCCCCCTCAAACTAACTTCTTTTGAAATCCTTTACGGGACCCACCCCCGACTCATTGCCATGCAGCACCTTCCCTCCCCAGAATCTTACTCCTCTCAATCTCTGTACACCAGATTAAAAGCCCTTGAAACTGTGCAGAGAGAAGTGTGGAGTCGGTTGGCCGAGGCATACAAACCTGGGGACCTGCAAGTACCTCACCAGTTCCAGGTTGGAGACTCGGTGTACATCCGGCGCCACCGCGCGGCCAGCTTAGAACCGAGGTGGAAAGGACCATATATAGTGCTGCTCACGACTCCGACGGCGGTGAAGGTGGATGGCGTCGCCGCTTGGATCCACGCTTCGCATGTCAAGTCCGCGCCACCACCCGGGCCAACGTGGAAAGTGGAAAAGATGGACAACCCCCTCAAGCTCCGCGTTCGCCGTGTTCCTGTTCCTACTGATGCACCTTCCACCGATGAGTAGTCCTAACCCTCATGCCCCCCAACGACTCACTTGGCAGGTCCTCTCCCAGACTGGGGACGTAATATGGAGCACCACCGAGGAGAAACCCCTTTGGGCTTGGTGGCCGTCCCTAACCCCAGACATTTGCGCCTTGATAGCTGGCTTAGACAACTGGGATATCCCTAGTATCACCCACCAGGAGGCGAACAGAACTAGGCCAGTAGACAATGATCTCACATCTGCCTCAGATCAGGTTTCCTGGAACCACCCAGGCTGTAGTTACCCTCGCGCTCGAATCCGATTCCAGCAAACACAGTTTTATGTTTGCCCCCAAGATGGAAGATCAAGGAGCGAGGCCAAGAGATGCGGGGGGGTAGAGAATTTCTACTGTAAGCAATGGACATGTGAAACTACTGGGGAACCCTACTGGCATCCCACCTCCTCCTGGGACTTAATTACAGTAGGAAGAAACAAAACAACCGTAGACTGCGAGAAAACCGGGTTCTGTAATCCACTAAACATCTCTTTTACAGAGAAGGGGAGGCAGGCCCGAGAGTGGATCAAAGGGAGAACGTGGGGATTCCGTTTCTATATGTCAAGGTGGGATAAGGGTTTTGCCTTCTCTATTAGGCTCAAAATTGAAGCCCCGACTGCTGTCCAAGTAGGGCCCAACCCAGTACTATCCGAACAGCGGCCACCAACCGCCCATGTCAGGCCGCCCGTTCCTCGAGCCACAACAAACAGGCCTAATAATGCAACTCGGCTCAACCCAGTTACAACCCCCTCGGTCCCCGGTCCAGCAAATACGCCCGAGATTCCAAGCACAGGGCAGAGGCTCCTTAATTTGATACAGGGAGCTTTTAGTGTTCTTAATGCCTCTAGTCCTGACCTGACAGAGTCTTGCTGGTTATGCCTGGCATCGGGTCCCCCCTACTATGAAGGAGTCGCCTTCTCAGGAGCTTTTAACAATACCACTTCTCATGACTCCTGTAGCTGGGGGACAAACAGTAAACTTACTCTTACAGAAGTCTCTGGGCGTGGCACTTGCTTGGGCACAGTTCCCATCAACCGTAAGCATCTGTGCAACCGGACCATAGATAGTCCCCAAACAACTACCAACTACTATCTGGTCCCCCCCGCAGGAGGTTGGTGGGCCTGCAGTACGGGGCTGACCCCATGTGTTTCCTCATCGGTGTTCAACACCACCAAAGACTACTGTGTCCTCGTGCAGTTGGTACCTAGAGTTATCTACCACGAAGCAGGTTCTTTTGAGGCTGAGTTTGACCTACAGCCCCGTAGGCAAAAGAGGGAACCGATCTCACTTACACTAGCGGTGCTGCTGGGTCGGGGAGTGGCAGCTGGAGTAAGAACTGGAACGACCGCGCTCGTCCAAACCCCCCAGTACATTGAGGGGTTACGGGCAGCGGTAGATGAAGACTTAAAAGCTATAGAACAATCTATCACAAAATTGGAAGAGTCACTAACCTCCTTATCTGAGGTGGTATTGCAGAATAGGCGAGGCTTAGACCTCCTATTCCTCAAAGATGGCAGATTATGTGCTGCATTAAAAGAAGAATGTTGTTTTTACGTAGATCACTCTGGAGTAATAAAAAATTCCATGACTAAACTTAGAGAAAGATTAGAAGCGAGGCAACGGGACCGGGAAGCCAATCAGGGGTGGTTTGAAAGCTGGTACCGCCGATCCCCTTGGCTCACCACCCTCATATCCACCCTGATGGGTCCCCTTATTATACTGCTTTTAATTCTCACTCTTGGACCCTGTATCTTAAACCGCCTAGTCACCTTTGTCAGGGAAAGAATAAGCACTGTACAGGTACTAATGCTCAGACAGCACTACCAGTCTCTCCGCCAGGGAGATAGTTTCGGAGAAGAGTATTTGGAGACAGAAGTTCCATGATTAGAACTTACCCAAAAGCAAATGGGGGAATGTAAGAATAAAAGAATGTTACAAACTGCCCAGGCCTAAATGTTTTATCTCAACTCCCCAAGCTTCCCCCGCCAGGGATAGGAACAAAGGGAACAAAGCCCTTAAGGCTGTTCCAGGAAATAGCCCTAGACACAAAGAGCAGGCTGAGCAAGCCATACTCTGATCAACCGTTGAGATAAACAGGATGTGAAATTACCAGGAGGGACTGATGACTAACTCTCAAGCCCTGTCAGGACACAACCCAGACCCCTTTGGAATTCCTTTGTTCCCCTCTTTCCCCTTCTGCGTGTAACCCCTCCCGATGTGTGGTTTTTGCCTATATATACTTGTAAGACTTTCTGCTCGGGGCTCGACTCCTCTGCTCCTGCGTGAGTTACGAGTTGAGCCCCAGCGCGCTGGAATAAAGCCTCTTGCTGTTTGCATCAAGTGACGCCTCTTGCGGTTGATTGGGGTTGCCGTCGATCCAAGGGACAGAGAAAGGACTCCCCTGGGGTCTTACACCACAAACTCAAGATAGCAGAGCTGGGTGCTGCCACTGGAGGTCCCCCTGTTGATGGCAGTCCCTGCCCGCTGGCTCCTGCTGTGCATGTCTCCTGCTGACCAGTCATGACGTTATGGTGTCCAGGCTAATTTGCATATTCCTCTATTATGTAGGATAGAATTGTGAAATGATCATCACAATAAGTCTAGTTAATATCTGTCATCATACATACTTACAGAATATTTTTTTCTTGTAAAGAGAACTTTTAAGACTTACTCTTAACAACTTTCAAATCTGAAATATATTACTAACAGCAGTCATCGTGCTGTAGGCTGCATTTCCATCACTTATTTTATATCTGGAAGTTTGTACCTTTTGACACCGTTCATCCATTTGTCCCCCACCACACCCCCATACACCACTCCTGCAACCTCTAGTAACCATCGGTCTGTGCTCTGTATCTATGGACTTGCTTTTTTCATGGAGCCACAGATAATTGAGAACACATGGCATTTCTCTTTTTCTGACTTCCTTCACAAAGCATCCTGCCCTCAAGGACCATGAATGTGTTGTTACAAAGTGGCAGAATTTCTTTTTCTAATGGCTGAAT